AATCGGATTTGCTTAGACTTTTAGGTCTTATGTAGATGAAGCTTATATATGTATCATCGACTGGCTTTGCCCTTCACTCATCAAGACAAGAAGTGAGACTGGTTGTGGTGGATACTGACTCATGGAGAACTTGATGGGTTGATCCACCTAAAGTGAACTGAATTTAGTGGAGTCCAGTGTTTAGCATTGCCTCAAAAATAGTTGTCATTATCACACCAATCACATTTTAAGTTATACTGTCATATTCTTTAAATGATTCTCCTGCTGAATTCTACTCTCGCAACCAGCCTAAAACAAAAGGAAGATACCTGAAAAGAGAATGCCAAAGGAACCCAACTACCCAGAATTGGAACAGTTATGAACACATTAGGTTGTGTTTCTGCTGAAAGAGGAATGCATAATGGAGGAGTACTTGAAATTTAATCTCATTGGGAATTTTATCCCCGTGGTGCGTCATAGTAAAATTCCTTGCACTAGTATCTTAAACTATTCATCTTAGTTGTGTACTTGGAACTGTCAGTGCTTGCTTGAACATGTTATCCTGTTAGGTATCACTGTTATGTTACTTTACCGTATATCTATCCCATATGTTATTTAGTTTTTAGTTTAGGTGGTTAAGTTTTATTTTCTCACTAGTCTGGGCCAGGGCCAGGGCCAGGGCCAGGGCCAGGGCCAGGGCCAGGGCTAGGATTAGGGCTGTTTACTATTTAAGTATGCCTCTTATTTCCTTAGATCACGTTTTGGAATTTTTGAGTAGTTGGATTTAAGCCCAGGCTGGAAGACTTCTTGAGGAGAATGTCACACATTTTTGTTTTGCGTTCCTTTCAGTTCTTGTTCTAGGTTGTTTTCTTGGTTCAGTTTCAGTTTCTTACCCTGTTGCTTTTTATTCCATCATTTTCTTAAGTGGGGGAAAACATTGGTGTCTTGCTTCCAACATAGATTTATTCAGAAAGCCTTGATAATTATTAAAGGCCTACCATGAAATGAAATATCATATTAATGATTCACATATAATAAATGACGTCACTCTCGGATCAACTCACACCAGTCAGTCGGATCTTATTGCTATAGATCGTTTCTTAATTGCATGATGCACATGAACATTTGTGGGACAGTTGTGTGTCTGTCTTCTACTTCTGAGTCAACTGATTCTAATGTACTCGTGACATTTACCTATAGAGCATGCTTGATTACAGCCATCCTAATTTGTTGTAACCATACTCAATGAAACAAAAAGATGCATAAGTCATACATTGATCCATGGCTTGATGATAATACATGTTATAATAGTTCAAGGTGATGGTTTGAGCAAACCTAGCACTTGCTTTCGCATCAATATAATTGGTGAAGGAAATAAAGAAAAAACCCTTTTTTGTGGGTCCTAATTTTAGCTTCTCATTGTGTGACGGTATCTTGTTTTAACCACTGGGTTTTCGTTTCTCCTGTTTTTACCGAGTTTGCAGCTTGGATCTTTATGTTTTTTGAACTGCTGTCATTTTTTGTTCTTTTCCCTTTCTGATTTTGGATTTTAATATTTGAGAAATCGGATTACTTATTGGTATTTATCTCTTGAAGACGTTTTAATAATTTCATTTCATTGTGATTATTTATTCATGTATCATGCTCCATTATTTCATCTTGTTGACTTTGATAGCATACATAATGACATATATCGTGTTTTCAGGCAAAATGCAAGGAAAAAAAACACAAAAAGGAAAAAAAGGATAAGGAAAGGAAAAAAGAGAGAGAAAATGAGAGAGAAGGAAGTTCGGCGAAACACAGGGACAAGAAAGATAGGAAAAAAAAATCCAAGGAGAAAAAAGAAAAGCACAAGGAGAAGAAGGATAGGGGTAAAGACAAGGACAAAAGCAGCATCTCGGAAGAGTCCACAGTTGCTAGGAATGAGGGAATAATTGCAGAGAATCTTTATCCTGTGGAGTACAGCAAAGAAAGCAAAAATTTTGGGAATGAAGGTAAATGCCCTGCCCGATTGCAGGATCAAAATGATGGGAAGCCTTCGCAAAGCAGCTTACCTTCCCTGGGAAACGAGGAGTCAAAATTTGTTCAGGAACTGGATAGGAGGGTAAGAGATGAGAAGAGTAGAGGGAGCCAGTTACCTGAAAAACTTGCTTTCATGGCCGAAAAGGATCGGCCAATGTTGAACAACGCTTCTGGAGTTCTGATAGAAAAGAAGGATGGCAACAAAAATAAGAGAGATCCCGGAAACTTTAAAAACGAGGTCAGTGGAAATATGATGGTCCAGAAGCTGATGCCAATTGGAAAGAGTAAAGGAGAAGGGATACCCAGACCAATGAATGCAGAAAATGGCTGGAGGTTGGAAGATAAAGAGAAATATAAAGAAACAGCTGGCAGAAAGCCGGGGGACAAGCCAAACGATACGGGTAAGGAAATCCATGTGAAGGATAAAAACAATGAAACGAAAAAGTATGACGAGGCAAATATTAGAAATGAGAATAAGAAAGGCTCCAGGCAGGGCAAGTTGGAAGATGAGGGCAGGGATTATCTTGGCGGATGTGATGGTCATAAAAGCACTGGCGTATTGAATGGTTACAACATTAACACTGTAAACGAAGAAAATATAAAGAAAAGAAAAGATATGGCTACAAATGGTTTTCTCCATGGTGAGTTCTTTTGTATAATGGCTTACCTAAAGAACAAACTTACTCTTAAAGAATAAAACTGAAAAAAGCAAAGAAAAATCCTGCCTTTATCTTAAATGCATTCAGCAGATGTGTTTTAAACATCTGTGAATTTTCTGTCGAGATCGATGACTGCATATGTACATGTGTATTTTGACTTAAATTAGATTCTTATGATGGCTGATCAGTTTTGCTTGTTAACAGAGAGAGAAACTAGGCCTATTAAAATGCAAAGGTCTTCTCATCAGTCGACAGAAAACGGAAGGCAACTCGAACCTCCTCAAACTCTTGCTAAATCCTCTAATGATAACCAAGCTGTTCCTAACAATGTTGAAGTAGACAATAACGAGCGGCTGACAAATGGCACATTTGAAGCTCAGAAACCATCTTCATCCATACCAAATCCTCATGCTGCGACTGTGCAAATTGTCGAGGTCTCAAAGTTGCCCCAATGTGATTCCAATACGGCAGTGGTAACAGCTGAAGCATCAAGGTCTCCTCACCCCGATTCAAAGTATCTTGCAGAGGTACTAACAGTACCCAAGAATATGTCAGACTGGTCTGAGAATGACGATGATCAGCTTTGGTTGTTTAGTGACAGAGTCCCGAGAAAGCCCAAGTTGGATTCATTTGAACTTGATGATGACGTGCACGTGTGGTCAGAAGCTGTACATATTGAGTCAGCAGACATTTGTGCTCTGCCTTATGTGGTTCCTTACTGATTGTTTGCTGGTCATAATTACTTAGCTTTGAGATGAGAAGTTGGCGTTGCTGATTGACTACTCGCACCACCACCTGGGCAGGCCAATTGCTTTTGTGACACCTGTCCATGAATCTTGTGCATTGTGGCCATGCTATTTCTTTTCACTTTTGGCACGAACTGATCATTATGTTCTGGATGGTGGTTGGCTCTGAGAGGGACTCGGACGTCTCTATACATACTAATCTAGGCCATCCACCGTTCAGATGAAATCAAGGTGGTGGATTGCATAGGGAAGTCAGCATGAAAATTATCACAAATGATCCATTTTGGGAAAGCTAATGTATTCATTCCTACTTCATTGGGAAGGGTTTCAAAGTGTAGGTGTAGTTTTATCACGTCGCTAAGATTTTGAGTATGTAACATAGAATAACTCTTGTTTACATCGCCAATGTGAGAGGGGTGATTGAAAGGGGCAATCGCTCCATTTGTTTCATTAACTGAGGTCTAAGTGTTAATTATAGCTCCGACCAGCTTTTATTAACAAATGTATACATATCTATCTATCTCTGAAAACTAATGATTTTGTAAAAAAATTAAACGGACTAAAGAATCCTTAATTTCAGATAATTGCAAAGGCGAAATTGTAATCACAATTTTACTATAAAAAAAAAAAGGAATTACAATGTTTAAGGGTTGTAATGCGGACGAAGGTCGTCTTCTAAAAATTGTGTACAGCCGTGCCCAACGAGCTCGCTCAAGGAGGCTTGGATTGGACAAGCCTTAGGCCTTGACCGACGATGGTCCATCACGCCGTAACTGTAGCAACACATCACGTGAAAACCACGCCGCGAGGAGTTGGAGGACGCGTAGCCCTCGCGCCACGAGGGCCATTACGCCGCGATGGCAGCCACTGACTGCGAGCTCTTCGCATCGCGTCTGGCGTCACCGTTACACCCATTTTTGTTGTGTTTTTCATTATCATTTTGTCTTTCTCTTTTCTCCGTTTTAGGTTTTCTCTTTGGTTTTTAGTCTGTTTTCTGGTTTGTTGTGTGTTTTTCTGTATTTTTGGGTTTTTATGTGTTTTCGTTTGTGTTTCTCGATTTCCTACGTGTTCGTGTCGTTTTTGGTCTGCAGGGCAGGAGTTTCGGGCTCATATTATTTGAAAGGAGAAACGGTCGTGTGAGCTGAATTATGTAGAAGGTTGGCAACGAGTAGGAAAAAATGAAACTCAATTCCGAGTACGGATGAGCATGTACGAGCCTATAGTGCACAGCCGCGCACCTATCGCCTAGCACCAGCGACCCGAGGAAATTAGTGGGCCTGAAGCCTTCCCAGGCCACAACCAGCGGACCACTCGCGACATGCAGAACCTGCCCCCGCGACCCGTGGAAAACCCTTGGAAATTACTGGGGCTGAAGCCTGCCCAGGGCCGCGACCAGTGAACCACTAGCAACCCGCGATGCATGCTTTCCACGACCCACGGACACCTCTGTGCCCTGTGGGTTGTCGCGATCAACATTTAAATTTTGGGTCTTTGAATTGGTTTAGAGAGGGCTATCTATGGGGACTCCTGCCAAGGGTTAGAGGAGATCTCCATACATCATTTTTTAACTCTTTCTCTCCAGAAACATTTGAATGCATCTTGGTTCCGTTTTGATTTGTTCTATATTTTTTTGGATTAAGCTTGCATTTCAGATTCAACTCTTGGTTTCTTTATTAACGTACGTTATCATTTTCGTTCAATTATCGAATATGATTGCTTGGGTTGTGGTGATTGGTTTTGTTGAATTCAATATGAGTGGCTAATTCGATTTGTTAGAGATAGAAGATATTGTTTGGATATGATTGTGATTATCGTGTTTGTTGATCACTCAATTTAGGCGAGTCACTTTGATAGGGGTTTTTAATTATCAACCATGAATGTTAAACGTTGTTGAGAGTGACGCTTTAACTTATAATTCTTTATCGTTTCGAAATAAAAAAAAAAAAAGAAAAAAAAACTTGTAATTAATTTTCAATTGATTATCATTCATTCGGGTCTGGTGTTGTTACTTCTAATATGTTAGCTGATTAACTCTTTCTAGTCTAATTTAATCAACTTTTATAACCGAAAAGGGAGGAGTCGATTGATCAAGGCTCGTATAAAATAGACTTGTTCGACTGTATTGCCTATGTGTTTAATGACTCGTTAATTTGCCTTTCATGTTTATTCTCCTTTTACGAAATGTTATTTAGGATTAATCTCTGAATGAACAGGTCATTCTAGCCCTTTAACAGAATGATAGCTTGCTCGTTAATTGTGTTTCGAACCAAACGATTATCCCTGACTCGCTAGCTTCATTATCATTGTCGATTCTTTGTTTTTGCATTGATTTCTGAATTTGTGTTGTCTAAGATTCCTAACTATAATTCAAATAGGATTTTTTTTTCTCTTTTTGTGCTTGAATATAGACTCAAAATATGCCGGCTAGCCTTCCTCGAGAGATCGACCCGTGATTGAATTTTTAATTTAACTCTGGTAAAAAAATATAATTTGCTACAATAAATTTGGCGCCGGGCCGGGGAAGGTTTAGGACTTATTATGTGCGCCTATTCATTTTGTTTTTCGTTTTTCTCTTTATTTCTTGTGATTTCTTATTTTCGTGTTTCTCTTTGTTTCTTTTACACATCCGGAAGCCGCAGCCCTTCGGCAAGACCACACGTGTCGTGGTCATCACGTCCGGCAAAGGCGGCAAGAACACAACCACTACCAACATCGGCCTCTCCCTCACGCGCCTCAATTTCTTTGTCGTCACCATTGACGCGGACGTCCTCCGCAACCTCGACCTCCTCTTCGGCCTCGACGACGCGGCGGCTACCACGGCGTATCGCTCGTTCGAAACAATCTGTGCTCGAGGTAATTATTGTCGGGTCCAAGCTCGCACTCGTGCCTGAAATCAAAGTTCTTGGAGAAGGACATTAGAATGCATAAGGCCCGAGCAGTAGACGGAAAAGGGGTGCAGAGTTCTCTACATTTGGTTTTCTTCAGTTTTCATTATTTTTAAAAAACTTTAAATACTTAAAATTCTT